CGATGAGGGATGAGCAACGACTGATATTCAATGAGAGCTCTGCTTCGTCAAGTGAGAAAATAAAGGCTTTCATTGAATATCGTTCGTCGCGCATCGCTCATTGCTTCCAGTATGCAATAGGCATACAAATTTTCGATCGGCATGCTGTTGACAAAAAAGTTAATTAGCTGATTATAACGAACCTGATTATGATACACTCGTTAACTAATCAGTGATTCAAGTAAAATATTTCTTTTTAAAAATTTACAAAAACATGCAACTTTTTGCACTCTAGACTAAAATTCTCTTTAGCATTGGTATGTGCGGCAGAATTAAAGATCAGACACAACGAATGGAATAATAAACAGTTCAATACATTGCATAATGAACTTTATAGAAAATGCTCCTTATTCAACGTATTGAACCGTTCCTTTATTACATTCATCGTGTCAGGACCATTATGATTATACGATGGTATTTTCACAATTTTTAAATGTGTTTCAGATATTCATGTCTACAACTTATACGGATTGATGGAGTTGGTGTTCACAATCTGGGCCCCTATTCTTGAAAAGTATCGCGTACCATAAACTAGGGAAATGCTATAGTGTACGTAACGTATACTATAGTATTTCCTTAGTTTTACGTATATCATCATTTTCAAGAATAGGGGCCCTGTTCTCAATTTAAACCGTCTTATAGCCTGTTCGATTTACTGATTCGACCCGACCCCGAGTCCACGGTTTGTTCTTTTTAGCTGCATTTCTTGCATAATTTAGCTCTTATGTTCTTGAGGTCAACAGAACAGACCATTCACTCGCAATCGGGTAGAGTCAAAGACATAGAGAATGGACTGCGCGATCCGTGTGTCAAAATGATAGGGATGAAAGAGAGGGACCATGGCAGACGGCCATTTCTATCTCTTTCCATTCAATGGTGTAATGGGAGAGAGAATGAGAGGGAGATTGGTCGTCTCCCACGGTCACTTTCTCTCATTATTGTCGATCACATTTGATGTATGGAGGTATATCCTGTTTTTTTAAATATTATGTTAAGTTTATATTATACTGTTATTCCGTAAAGTTTTTAATAAAAATACAAAGTTTTCCACAATACCCTTGCGATTTTTCTTTTACAACTACAACCTTTACCAAGCCGTCCTCCATGAACTCTTCATTGCTTACTGTCTAACAAAGCACCATAACTCTATTTAGTTCTGTTTAATTCATGTAAAATATAAAGTTATTTTAAAAGAATTAAAATCGACCTTTATTAATCATTTAAATAACTTTTAATTTTATAAGACTAAAAAATTACTTCTGAAAGTGTGTACTTTTATTTCTGTAAAGCGGCAAATTATTTGAATGATTGCATATAAGCTCAATTTCAACTTCTGTGCGCCAATATTATATTTTAGCTTAAACACAAGTTTAACAGAACGACATTAATATCACGAACTAAATATTTCAAGTAATGTTTCGTTAGGATTGCGTTTAGGACTGAAAAATATTTTCGACGCGCAGTTGGCAGAATTAAACGTGTACAACATTTAAATGTATATGACATTCAAGCACTATGACTCAGCACCGTTTAAAACTATTATCTTATTCGCTTTGTAGTTACGTATATCACTTGGGAGGTCCTATATAGGTTACTATTTTAGTTCATTATTGTTTGATAATACTGTTTCTATATATAGAATGTACAGCTGTAAAAATTAAATTTATAATATAAGAATATAACTTTTTAATATAAACATGTTTAAGCATATTTGCATGATTAGCAGAAAACTTTGAATTAATTATAAAACTTTAATAT